CCCTCTCGGATCCTCCTTCCACCGCCAACTTGCTGTGTTCATTTGGGAAAGAATCTTGGACTTTTATCACCTTCTCAGCAAGACTAGGCCAGACGACGAACAGTTTTGAACTCACGTTTAGGGGGGAAAGAGTCTGGGCTCCTTCCAGTCTTCTCACACATTCAGAAAGATTGAAGACTAGTGGGGACATCTTTATTAAATATCTCTAGGCTGGTCAGTACAACTTTCTCACCTGATGGAAATGTTCTGTAACTGCTGTCCAACAGAACAGTCACAAGCCACGCGTGAGCCCCCGCGCAATTAAAGTGAGACTAGTGGAACTGGGGAACGGAATTTTCCATTTTATTTCATTTAACCTGCCCTACAGCTAAAAAACTGTATGTGGCCAGACTTACCTATTCGACGGTCAAATTATAAAAGGGGTAGGGGAACTAAGTAATTTGAGGTTTACTCCAATTCGATCATAAGGCACATATTTTTCCTCAATAAAGGAAAGGTCAAAAGTTAGCAAAACGGGGCGTCCCTGGCAGCGCGAGAGGTTAAGTCGCAGCACTTTGAAGCTATCTACAGAGTTCCATCCCGGCCAGGGGAGATGACCCACATGGTGCAGCAGAACTCTCTTGCCTACAGATGGCCAGTTGCTCCCCTCAGCAGTGTATTTCAGTCAATCAACATATTCTGCACCCTTCTCTGTCTCTGGTGCTTCTCACTCCAAATATCTCTGGTCTACATCCCAGCTCTTGTATGCAATAATAAATAATTTTTTAAATAAAAAAGAAGCTAGCAAAATGAATGATAATTAGAAAAGAGATCTCATGGGGAGCTCTCTTAACACTTTCAGTGTCAATTTTCCTGGTCAGTAAAATGGGAATGTTACCAACCCTCCAGTCACCTCACTTTACAGGGCCATTAACTGTCAAAGGAGAATATATGTGCAAGTATTCTGAAAACTAAAGACTGTCACTGGAGAGGTATATTCCTGAAAAGATAAAAGAAGAATTGTAAATAGCAACCTAATGTCATTCTAATAGAGAAAGAAGCCGTCACAGAGACTGTTTATAAATTAAGTAAAAACCCTTCACCCTCATTTACCTGGGGATTAATACTGGCTTTGCGCAAAATTTTCTCAGCACCTCTGGAATTTAATTAGTTTTCTTGAAGTGCATTGGAGCAGAAAGTTTTCCTGGTTGCTAGAATTTCGCCAACCCCTAAATTTCGATGATTATTATAAATTATAGCCCAATTTTAGTTCAAATCAGGAGAAATATAAGCAAGTTGACCAAGGTCCAAATGTTGCTTAGGTGAGCTTTTTGCCCAGGCCAGTTGTCACTACCATCCCATTATCACTGAATTTTCTGGAACCTCTGCTGTCTGCCTGTCTGGAAGAGTCAGCTGTCTAGGTCACACTAGCTGGCTGGCATTCCACTCTCTGTGAAGTGTGGAGCCATCACTGATCAGAACTTCAAGTTCTTGTCGAAAGCCCACAGCCTGACTGGCTGTGAGTCTCCTCTACTATCGTCACTTTTCTTTTCTTTTTTTTTTAAGATTTATTTATTTGTGCATACAGAGCAGGGGTACAGGTCAGAGGTGCAGGGACAGCGAGAGGATTCGCCAGAGACAGAGTGGGGAGCAGAACAGGCAGATCCATGAAGTACACTGCTGAGGGGAGCAGCGGGCGGGTCAGGAGAGGTCTGCTGCGCCATGTGGTCACCTCCAGGGCGGGGGTCAAACTCATGCGGAAGTGGCTTTAGCTTCTTAGTGCTGGGCTTTAACCCGCTGTGCCACCAGGAAGGGCCCACTACTATCGTTACTTTTCACCTGTGCCTCTAGGTACTGCTTACTGTGCATCAGTGCTATGCTGTGGTCATTTATAGTCCCAGCTAATCCATTTTATTGGATAACTGAATTGCTGGAAATACAAATCCAGAGGGTCATAAGAGAATCACATCAAAAGTGCTTTTTTTTTAAAAAAAGAAAGATTTATTTGTGCATACAGAACTGGGGTACAGGCAGAGGTGCAGGGTGGGTGAGAGGCTTCACCAGAGACAGAGTGGGGAACAGGGAGGGGGTCAGGAGAGGTTGGCAGTGCCATGTGGGTCACCTCCAGGGCAGGGATGGAACTCATGCTGAAGTGACTTTAGTGCCTAGTGCTGTGTTTAAACCCCCTGCACCACCAGGGGTGCCTTTTAAAGAAGAGTTGAATTACCTGTCCTGCAAGGCCACGAAGGCTCAGAAGGTGATCTGGGAACTTCAGACCCTTTCTGCTAGTCCTGCCCTCCTTAGGATGGGATCCTAAGATGGAAGAGACACCAGCTGGCTCACCACCACAACCATATTCCAGCTGATAGAAAGGAATCAAAGAAATGGAAATAGCTTTAAAAGCACCTTAAGTCTTAAGTCTTTCCAAAGTACCTTTGATCAGCTCTTTATCTACATGGAAGTTCCTTGATAAGACTAAGAAATGCAATTGCTATTCCATTCCCTAAAAATCAGGAGTTCTCTAGAAGGGCTGGAGATGGTTATAGGAAATCTCATTCTCTGTTTAGCATCCTTTCACTCTTTTTGGGCTAGAACGCCTATATTTTCTTCCAGATAACTATTCCTTCCCACCTTCAGCTGAAAGTCTCTGACAACTCACGAACATATGTATGTGAGAACTAAGCTAAGCATAGCATGGACATCCTGAGCCCTGGTTATTCCTGGGGAGTCAGAACTGACTGCATCTGACTTCAGTCAAATACTCAGCAGCTTTGAGTGTCTTTTTCCTTATTCAACCTAAATTTTAAGAACAGAATTGCCTTGCTATTTTTTCACCTCTTTTTGTTGGTCCTTTGCTTTGCTCATTTATCTTTTCTGAATTCCCAAATTCAACTTTCCTAATCTTTTATCCATATTACTGAAGCTGTTTAAAAATAAACCCAACCTTGGGCCCTCCCTGGTGGTGCAGCGGGCTAAAGCACAGTACTGAGAAGCTAAAGCCACTTCATTATGAGTTCGATCCCCACCCTGGAGTTGATCCACATGGCGTGGCAGACCACTACTGACCCACCCGCTGCTCCCCTCAGCAGTATACTTCATCAATCTGCCTGTTCTACTCCCCACTCTGTCTCTGGTGAATCCTCTCACCACCCCTGCACCTCTGGGCTGTACCCCAGTTCTGTATGCATAAATAAATACAGCTTCTTAAAAAATAAAATAAAATAAACCCTACCTCAGCTAAAGATTCTATAAGCCCATTATCTTCAACCTCAACTCCACATGGTCCAGAAACCATTACTTGTCTCTTCTAAAACCTTTAAGTATTCTTCCAGAAAGTCGAAAAAATTTCAGCCTTCTAATACAAATGATATTCTCTTTCTTCTATGCTCCCATCATTGCCATGTATGTTTTAATAACACTATACTGTTAAAAACACTATACCACACCATACTGTGTGTCAGTATAATCTCCATAAAAAGGGGAGGTTCCAGGTTCCCTGACCCTCTAAATGAAGGGTGAAACTGGGGGTGAGGAGAAGCTGAAGGAGACTCAAGGGGTCATGTGGAGCAGAGAGACCTGTGAAGAAGGGCCACTTGCTTTTTGAATGTGGGCTTTCACCAGAGACTTGGAGGACATGGAAGGAAATGTACGGATTTGAGACACATAGAGACAACCGGAAGAGACGTAGGTGAGAGACCCATGGGGAGGCTGACAATGGCAGCTGTTACTTTTATTTGTACTCTGCCCCTTTCCTATGGTTGCCCTGCCAGAAGGTGCTTTAGACTGGTGGCAAGATTTTGGGCTTCAGAAGCCATCCTTTGGGACAACCCCACTTGCATGGGCATTTACAGGGGTGATGAGTAACTTTGGGTTTTTTTCACTGGGAAGTTATCCTGTCTTCTCTTTTCTCTCTGTGCACACTGTTAAAGTTCTTTCCCACTGCATATGCTTTCTCTTTATGAGGTAGAAGGCAGAACATATTTAGAGTATGTAAGTTTGGGGGTCTGAGGCACCTCTCAATCCGCCTGCTACCATTTTTATCACTACCATCTTTAATGGACTTGAGCATCATTGAGTTTGGGGGCTATTTCTTACTTGACTTTGGAGCCTGCATACTTATCTATTGCCATAAAACACATTTCACCAAACTTAGCAGCTTAAAAGCACATGTATTTATTATCTCATGATTTCTGTGGGTCAGAAATTCAGGGGCAACTTAGCTCAGAACCCGAGTCAGGGTCTCTCATAAGACTGCAGTCATCTCAAGACTCCAACCAGGAAAGAATATGTGCCCAGCTCTCTCACATGGATGCTGGCAGGCTGCAAGGCCTTGCTGCTAGATGGAAAGGTGAGTTGCTTGCCACAAAAGCCTCTCCAGAAGGCTCCTTACTTAGTATCTCAAGTTCTCTCAGTGACAATTCCAGAAAGAAGGAATGAGGTAGTGTAACAGGATGGTCCCTAGGAAAAGGAGAAGTTCCAGGTTCTCTGCCCCGCCCAGAAGGAGGGTGGAGCTCAACAGAGAAAAAGGAGAGAAGAGAAGGAATCAGAGAAGAAGAGAAGGAAGCAGGATGGAGAGCCAGAAGGAGACCTGAGGAAGCCACATGGAGCAGCAAGCATGTGATGAAGAAACTGGGCTTGTTTCCTGACCCTGGACTGGCTAAGGCAGATGTGGGTGAGAGACCTGTAGGGAGGCGACTGTGGCAGTGTTTATATTGATTTTGATGTTGCTCTTTTGCTCCCAGATTTGTCTGGCCATTTCTGACCCTTTTCCATGGGTCCCACCCAGAAGGTGCTTTAGTCTTGTGGTGGCTCTCAGGCCTTGCTTTGGGCCAAT